GGAGCAGAAGGACAAAGATGACCCCAATTTTCATATCTGGGGGTAACTTAGAGGACAGATGTGCCCTTTTTGGAGCAAAGGAATATGTGGTAAGGGGTTGATCTGAGGGAGACAGTGAATCTCAGTTTAGGACATGAGAGACATCCCAATTTCTCCAGTTTTTCTTTTTTTCTTATTTTGTTTTGCCTTTTCAGTCTTCCTTTCTTACTGCTGCCAGAACGATCTTCTTAAAACAGAACCAATAACGTCATTCTCCTCGACACTTCCCGTTAGCGCTCACCGACCAGAGGAGATTCAGGAGAAACGGGAGAGTTCAGTGTCTCTGACAAGGGACTCGRAGCCTGCCGCTCGCTGGTTTCATTGGCATCTTCCAGCACAACGGAATCCACTGAGCAATTTCTCACCTTCTTGCCTTTGCGCAAGCTGTTCCCTCAATCTGGAATGCCCTCCCCGCTTCCCTCCTTACAAAACCCTACTTGTGCTTTAGACCGTGTTTTGCAAGTTAGAACCACTAGCCGTCTACTCAATAATCCCACAGCGATTCATGGTGTTTGTCGGGGTATTACAGTGCATCTACTCACACATGCATGTCTTCAGTTGACTGGTCGTTTCTCAAAGCCAGGAACTGTATTTTACCTAGTTCCACTTCTTAGCAGTTGCTGGCACATGACTTGACACATATTTGTGGCTCGTGATTAATCAATGAAAAGGAGAGGGAGACATTGGTACAGGTTAGAGCAGGTGAGGTGTCTGGGGAGAGAGAACTGGTTGATAGAGTAGGTTTGGACTTGTTTTAGACTATGTTTGCCTGGGATGGAAACTTTGGGATGTGAAGAACCAGGTATGAGAATACTAATGAGGGAGGCAATGGATTATGGGTAAGTCATGTCTAAGGGCAGAATCCTCCAATCCACAGGCAGACAAGCCAAACTGTAAAGTCCTTCATCAGCAGGAAATTATTATTCTGCTCGTTTAAAAAGATACATGGCCTCTTCGTGTAACCAAGACTCCAGCGTATTTAGCTCTTGCGGCTGCTCCGTCTGTTGTCCGAGGCCATAAAGAGATGGGCCCATGACTAATAGCGTGGTGATGCCCCATGGTCATGCCCATTTATTTAGTTGCAGGAAAGATGGGCAAGGGGGTGCTCTGATTAATGAGATTTCTTTGACCCTTAATTATTCTTTTCATATGTTAGGCTCTTTCATCAGCCTGTTTTTATTTTCGACAGCACAAGGGAAAAATGAAAAATGTTGTSTTTTAATAGGAATCCTAGAATGATAAAGCCGGTGGCCTTCCTTCTGGATGCACATACACATACACATTGATTATGTTTACGTCTATGTATCTATGTGTATGTGTTCGTGTGTAGTTCTTTTTTTTGTTTTTGTTTATTTTGTATCACTTTTTTGGTACCAGGGATTGAACCCAGGGACACTTAACCACTGAGCCACATCTCCGTTTATTTTTTTATTTTGAGACAGGGTCTCCCTAAGTTGCTAAGAGCCTGGCTAAGTTGCTGAGGCTGGCTTTGAACTTGCAATTCTCCTACCTCAGCCTCTGGAGCCGCTAGGACCATAGGTGTGTGCCAACAAGCCTGGGTCATGTGTGTGTTCTATGTATCTATGGGACCATCCATCAGTCCACACTATTCCAATCTTTAATTAGTAAAAGGACTACTAGTGTGGTTTTTTTTTTTTTTTTTTTTTTTTGTATCAGGATTGAACTCAAGGACACTCAGCCACTGAGTCACATCCCCAGCCGTATTTTGTATTCTATTTAGAGACAGAGAGTAACTCACTGAGTTGCTTAGCACCTCACTTTTGCTGATGCTGGCTTTGAACTTGGGATCCTCCTGCCTCAGCCTCTGGAGCAGCTGGGATTACAGGCGTGTGCCACAATGCCCAGCAGGACTACTAGTTTTGTGTGTTAAAAATGGAAAGAACTGCCAGGTTTTTTTTTTTTTTAAAGAGAGAGTGAGAGAGGGGGGAGAGAGAGAGAAAGAGAGAGAATTTTTAATATTTATTTCTTAGTTCTCGGCGGACACAACATCTTTGTTGGTATGTGGTGCTGAGGATCGAACCCGGGCCGCACGCATGCCAGGTGAGCGCGCTACCGCTGAGCCACATCCCCAGCCCAGAACTGCCAGGTTTGGAAATGCACACCTATAATCCCAGCACCTCGGGAAGCTAAGTCAGGAAGATGACTAGTTCAAAGCCAGTCTCAGCAACTTAGGCTTGTTGTTGTTGTTATTCTGTCTCAGAATAACAACAACAAAGGCTGGGGGATGTGGCTCAGTGGTTAAGCATCCTTGGTTTGAATCTGTGGTTTTAAAAAAAGAAAGGAACAATAGAGATATCCTGAATATTTAAATTTTTGATTAGCTATTGCGTGAGGGCAGACACTCCCTGTCCAGCCCAGGGAATTTTTGAGGGAATTCTGTGCACACAGAAAATGCCAGGCAAAGGTAACCATTTTATTTTTAGCTCCCAACCCCTTTGTTGGACTCCCATTCATAGTAAGTTGGGACCTACAAGAGCCACCTGGGTGCCTATACTTGGGCTTGAGGCTGGTCCCAGTGTCCGGGGCTGGCTTCTCCCCCTTAGCCCTGTTTGGGCCCTCCTGGGTCAAGGAAGCTGCAGGAGCCAGCCCATGTCCCTGTCAAGTGCTTTCCCATTGGAGAAATCAACGCAGACCCAGGGCTGGGGGTAGAGCTCCGTGGTAGAGCCCTCGTCCAGCACGCACAAGGCTCTGGGGTCTATCCCACCATCAAAAAAACCAACCCAAACCAAATCCCAAACCAACAAAAATCAAAACAAAACAAAACAAAAACCCCAAGAAGAGACCCTGCCCTACAGATTCCAGGGCTTTCATCTGCTTCCCATGGGCCAGCTCTGTCATTCCCTAGCATCACGTCCCTGCACTGATTCTGCCAACTCCACCAGTCCCTCTCAGAGGTAGGAGCACAGGAAAGGAGCCTTGAGCTAATTCAAGGGATTCGGTGGGCAGCCCACACTGGCCTAGAGGGAAATGTAATGGGAACTTTCATGACAAATAGAGCCATTGTATTGGACACTGTTGCTAACTGACCTTGCAACCCTCTGTGGTCAGGTGTAACTGCAATGCCTCACCTTTACCCAGTAGCCAGCTCTCCCACGTGGTTTCTTGGCTGCCTCTAGGACCTCCTCAACCATTGGTCAGGCAAAGCTAGAAGTGCAAGAGCACGGACGTCCTCTGGGGTTACTCAGACCCCTTCCTTTTCCCACCCTTGGGCTGCCGATTCTGAGATATGTCTACACGGTCATCATGGGGACCCTCAGAGGGACTGCATCCAGTTGCCCGTAGCAATGACTAGCTCACTAATGCACCCTGGGACTGTCTTTCCTCTTGTCTTTCCTGTTTCACTCTTTTTAATATCCCACTCTTTTTTGTTCTCAAAATTGCTTCCGAAAATAAATGCTTGCACGTAATCTCTATTCTCAGGGTTCTGTGTTTTTTTTTTTTTTT